ATTTCTATGAAATCTGGTGTACCCTTATGGTCTTTTCCTCAAAAGACTATAAGAGTATACCTTATGATCCTACTCAGTGGTCGTAGTCGTACTCAGTGGTTGTGGTTGTACTCAGTGGTCATACTCAGTGGTCATGGTCATACTCAGTGGTCGTACCCCCAGTTTACTCCAAGGGCAACTGAAAATTTTCTGTCAGTAGCCTGGCAGGACGACCAGACAATTTGTTACTTATAAGAGTGTGTTTATTAATAAAGCTATATTTTAATTGAAAAAGTAAAACATTTAGAAAAATAGATATTATATTTTATAGACTATATTATAGAGTGGATATTCAAATAATATTTAAAATTTATTAAGGAACTTTAACAACTTTATAAAAACATGCTGTATAAAAAGTCTAGCATTATGAAAAATGTTACTAATGGTCTGTAAAAATGCGCTTTAATTTTAAAATCAACTAATAAAAACTTTTTATTCGTTGATTTTATGGACTATTAGTAGCATTTTTCATAATGACAAACTTTTTATTAAGTATGTCTTTACAAAGTTGTTTAAATATTTGTAAAAGTTCCTAAAGTTTTTAATAATATTTTTAATAATATCCACTTTATATTTTCTAGATGCTTATCTACTTTTATTAAAGTTTGGAATTACTAATGTTGTTTGAACAAAGAATGAATTTTAAAAGTTATAAATGCTTTATAAAAAAAATAACACTATTATAGTTTTATTACTATTATAATGCAGGCCTTGTTAAGAAGCGTTTCCCAATTTGAGTTTTACGTACGAATTCACAATTTTACATACACGTTTCGCAATTTACGGTACACAAAAACTTTTTTAAAACAGTCTTTCAAAACAGATTAACCGGAAAATATTAAACTGTAATTAATTGTTGTAAAAAACATTTATTGAATATTTTTTTAAATTAGATAAAAAAACAGATAGATATCCTTTTTCTATTTTCCTTTTTTAAAAAAAATATGTTTTTAATTTATTTTATTAAATTTAAATTAATTTTATTATTATTCATAGTTTTAGTAATTTATTTGACTAAATTTAATTAAAATTCTTTTAAAAATTTCAAAACGCTTCGTTTTACATTTTTTTTCACTGATAAAATTTCCAAAATTTATGTTAAAGTAAAAAAATAATAATAAATTTCATTTAAGTTACTTTAAAATGTTCGCATTACATATAACTTCATTTTAATTTCAGTTAAGTTTCAAATAGTTGCAGTTCCAAATACTGATCTCAATAATGCGCTTTTATAAATTTATAAATGACTTCAATACAAAAAAGTTTTTTCAAACTCGAGTTTAAATGCTATGTTTGGGTTTTTCCTTTGCCATTAAATTTGGTGTAAAAGAATTTTTTTATAAAACGAACCAAACTTTAAACCGATTAAAAATAACGCGATCAATAGATAAACTCTTTAAAAGCTTTATATTTGTTTCTTTAAAACTTATATTTATTTTATTTAAAAAAAAAAAAAATTACTTTTGCTATAAATATAAGATTTATAAAATTTTAAAATTATACTGATATTTGTTTAAAACAAGTTCTGGTAATAACCTCTTAAAACTGAAAAACTATTTTTCTTTTTGGATTCAGTAAGAAATAGTAAAAATTAGGTTTCACTGTACATAAAAATAAAATATTTTAATGGAAAAAAAGCCGAAAAGCGGTTATCTTCATTTAATTACAATTTTTCTTTTATCAAAAGCGTAAAGGTTTTTTTTAAAAAGGGGAAAACCCAATCTAATTGTGTACACTTAAATCCATTTAAGAAAATCAACCATAAACTATTGTCCCCTCATTAAAAAAAAAATAACAATAAAAATAGTTTTTTAAAGAAAAAAAAATAAGTTTAAATAAGTATAAGATTTTAAAATAAGGAAATTTTTATAAATCAACATCAGGGTTAGGGTTAAATTTAATTGATAATTTTTTTAATTACAATTTTGTTTAATTTAAAGATGTAATTTTAAATTTAAAATTTTAAACATTTTTAAGAATTTTAAATTTTTTAAACATTTAAAAGACTTACAATAATTTCTGATGTGTTTTTGAATTTAATTACAATGAGGTATTTAAAAATATGTAACTGGCGCAATTAAATTTTTAATGATGTAAATATCTTTATTTAATAAAGTTACATATATTCAAGTTGTGCTTTTCTGTTATGCAACAAAATCTCATAACAAGACCTGTAATGCAGTTAGTAACTAGAGTGTTGTTAGTTTAGCAGTCGTAAGATTTTTGTTTGGTTTTTATAGCTTTTTCCCTGACAAACTTATAATAATTTGCTCCTTAAAAACAAAGTACACGACTTTGCATAAACTCAAATTTTAAAAATATCATTAGTTTCACCTGAGAAAAATACAAAAAAATTTTTTACACCGCACTACTGATTATTATAGTGAATAACTCATATAAGTAATAAAAACTGTTTCAGTCGCCCTACGGGTGACTTGGAAAAAACCAAAGGGTACACCACTGTGTGTTATGTTACTGCAATCACCTTAAGAAAGATTTGATTCAAATTGTACAACAAACAAGCAATGTAAGACAGTGGCTGTGTAGGCAATTGGGGCTGCATGAATTATGAAGGACTTGGATGCTATCGATTATTTGAAGGTCGACTTTATGCTGATAGATATATTAAAATTTAAGATAACTGCCTTCTTCCATCAATTAATATATTAAAAAAAAAAAATAGCAAAATTGTATATCAACAAGATGGTGCATTAGCCATACTTCAAAAATATGCAAACAATGGTTTGAAGACAACCAAATTTCAATAATGTTGTGGCCTGTTAACAGTCCAGACTTGAATTGTATTAAAAATTTATGGTCATGGTTAGATCATCTAAAATCACCATTTAAATTACACTACCTCCATAATTATTTGAATGGTCATTCTTTTTGATATAAGAGAGAAAAACTGAAAACAAAGTTTACCTGAATTATGTTTTATCTTCCTATTTATTAGGTTTACAAAAACGTTAATATAAAATCCCATTAGATTAGTTTATAATTTACTTGCCTAATAATTACCCGTAGCAACAATAACCGTCATACATATTCTTGGCTTTCTACTTAACGATTCATCCAATTTGTCTAAGTTAATTTTATGCCATTAGCTAATAATTTTTTCCACATCTTATGCATCATTAGGTATTAGTTTTGGACATCCGATCCAAAAATCCGATAGCAGAGTGATCTTGTGACTCGGGAGGCTAAATTATTTTTTCCAATTTTTGATCATTCATTAACTCAGTCAAATAATTTATACAATGTTCTGAAGAATATGTTTTGGATTTAAGCTTTAAGTTATTTTCTTCTAAAAAAGTAAATCTCTCCAAAGGTATATCATGACTTTTTACTATTTTTTATTACATACTATTTCTTACTTTGTTAATGTTTTAAATTAAAACCACATTAAAAAAATGATACACTTAATACGAAACTTTTTTTTTTGAAAAAAGATCAAAATATCTTCACACAATATACACTACACAATATACATATACTTCACACAGTATACACTACATTCATGATTATTCAAATGATCAAACTTTTTAAACTTATTTAAAAAATGCTTTAATTTAATTTTTTTTTGTTTTTTTTTTTGGTTTTAGCCTTTCAGTTAATTTTGTAATCATAAAAGTATTTTGATTAAAATGTTTAATAAAAATCATTAAAAAAACAAAAGTGGCCAAGTTTCCAATACTACATAAAAAATGATTCATCAATGACTGGAGCGTGGATTGATGTGTCAAAGTTTTTAAGAGAAAATTGTTAGTCCAACAAAAAGTTGTTATCATAAGCAGTGTGTATTATTGACTGTGAAACATGGTAGATGTAGTGTTAAGGTGTGAAGCTGTTTTGGTTGAAATGCTACAGGTGACATTAAAATAGAAGAAATGATGTCAAAAGTAGTTTATTAGGACATATTTTAAAAGGCATGCTGTTCCTTTTGAAAGTTGGATTAATGGGAAATCATTTATTTTTTTAGAAGAAATTAACGTAAAGCTCAAATTCAAAACATAATCTTCAGAACATTGTATAAGTTAGTTGACCAAGTTAGAGAATGATCAAATATTGTATGGAATGGCCTCCCCATTTACCAGACCTCTCTTCTATAGGACTTTTATGGATTAAATTGATAATAATGTTCAAAACAAATGGCTAGTTATTTAAAAAACTTGATAAGTCATTATGTAAAATGATAAGAAAATCCTTTAATGGTGAGCTCTAATTTATCTTTAAGTGAGCAAATTATAGTGAGTAATTTATGTCCAATGGTGTATATATATATATATATATATATATATATATATATAATATATATATATATATATATATATATATATATATATATATATATATACAGGGGCTATTCTAGGAAATTAATTTGGGTGGCAGTACCCCTTGTCCCGGCAATATTTAGCAGAAATAATGCAGAATTTAGGCATTTTTTTGCAAAAAAAAAAAAAATTTGCCGAAAAAAAAAAGGTATTCAATTTTGAATTTAAGCCGCATCCAAATCAGCACCCAAATACAGTCAACACTGTCAAAAAACAGTCTATATATATATATATATATATATATATATATATATATATATATATATATATATATATATATATATATATATATATATATATATATATATATATATATATATATATATATATATATATATATACATATATATATATATATATATATATATATATATATATATATATATATATATATATATATATATATATATATATATATATATATATATATAATATATATATATATATATATATATATATATATATATATATATATATATTATATATATATATATATATATATATATATATATATATATATATATATATATATATATATATATATATATATATATATATATATTTGGTGTTAACCTCATATGAAAATATTATAATCTGGTGTTAACCTTATATGGCCTGTTTAATTAGGAAGTGATGACTTTATATGACATGTTCCATACAAGAAACAGCTTGCATAGAAGAGCTTATCAGCATAAAACTGTCAAAGTTTTGGACTTTATGTAAGTAATTTATGAATTCAAATTTAGGCAAGTATACATTTTTTAAAAACAAAACACACACACATATTCACAGGTTTTTATATATGACGATGATTTGATTTTATTTAAGGATTTCTGAAGCACTTATAAAAGCCAATGATCATATTTTTCTTCCAGGTACTGATGGGTAAGTTTTATTGTTCTTTTGTATTATGCACTGAAAATTTTCTGTACAATGATTTACATTAAACAATAAAATTGCTAAAATAAATTGAAATATGATAATCATATTTTATTTTTGTTCCTACAACATTTTCATGACTTTTTATCAAATATTATGAAATACTTTTAAGGTGATTAGTCTGTTTGACATTACAAAGGCCAGAGGGGCACCAATGTCTAGCAATTATCTATATTATTTGCAACGCTGAAATAGGTTATTAAATTTTGAGTTTAATTTTTTTTTTAATTAACTATTTCAGGAAAATGGTTAAAATTTTAGATTCAATTTATGATATGAAGGCCTTTACATTTTTAAATGATGAAGTATTGACATTAATCCAAGTATCGACCAATGAAAATTTAAAACCAGTAAGTTTATATTTTATAACTTATAATTAGGTAATCTTAACTAATGTAATTGCAATTAATTAAAAATTTATTAATTAATTTAATTAATTGTGAGTTATATTTAGTAAGTTATATTTAGTAAACTTTTATATCTAAATTTAAAAATTAACATTTAGTCTCAAAATATTTTAAGAAGAATTCAACGTAGAGATTTATACAAGTATATTGGAAAAGTTGTTCTTTTTAAACCAATCAGCAAGGTAATTTTTATTGTTATTTCTTTTTAAACCAATCAGCAAGGTAATTTTATTGTTATTTCTTTTTAAACCAATCAGCAAGCTAATTTTATTGTTATTTCTTTTTAAACCAATCAGGTAATTTTATTGTTATTTCTTATTAAACCAATCAGCAAGTTAATTTTTATTGTTATTATTATTACCAATAACTTATGAATAATTTTTTTCTAGTAACTTTTATTAAAATTCCCAAGAGTGATTTTGTTTTGGAAGCAAAATTAGTTAGACACTTGCATATACTGTAAATGTTAAAAAGTAATTAAACTATTAGTCACTAACATCCTTCATATAGACTTTTGGTGAGCTAGACTAACTATATTTTATATTGTTAGATAAATATTTAAAACTGACAATTTATTTTTTTGTAGTTCAAGGTTAAAAGTTTAGTTAGTGCACATAATAAGTTTAATTAGTGCACATAATAATTTCGTTCAAATTAAAAGGTAAAAATAATTTAAATAAAATTTTAGTCAGTAAATTTAAAGTCAGCATAGTAATAAAATGACAAATCAGTGTTTTCAGTTTCAGATGATTTGATTATGTCTCATATAAATTTCTTATTTTTATTTATGTTTATCGGTTTCAGTTCTTCTTTTCTCTCATCAAAATCATCATCCTCATCCAACTCATTATATTCTTTACCCGCATAATTAGCATAATTAATCATCATTAGCATCATTTGTATTTTCCTTTTCAGTTTCTTTAGAAGAAGATCAACTGCGTCTCTTTCTAGATTAATTTTTTTATGTTTACATTTTGATCATACATAGTTAAGAGATGTAAGAGTTAGGTAATCAAAAACATTAAATAATTGAATTGGTCCATCTTTTTGATCAAGTTTACGAGTGTGTTGTAAGCTGGTATGTAAACCATGAGTACTCTTTTTTTTTAATAATTAACATAGCCAAATATGAAACAATATGTTTCATATTTGGCTATTTTTTTATTCAAATTAATGACAGATAAAACAATGTATAGCCTGTAAATTAAATCTTTCTTGACTACTGTTATTCGCAAAAATTCTGCTTGCTGACGAAAAGCATGACAAGCAGTATTGTCATCATTTGTCAGATGTCCAAGATCTGCCTTGAAGAGGCATGTCAACAATAAGGCCAATTTTTGCAAATTCACGCTGAACAAACTTTTTTTTTTGCAGCTGCTAATTTTATATTTTCAGGTTCACGCTTTAATATCAAGTCTACAACTTACATATAGAATACACTCAAAACACGGAATCCATGCATGTAATGAAGATAACCCAAGCTCTAAGCTTTGCGAATCTGTTGAACGAATCAGAGCTTTATCTAAGTTGTTCATTGATCTAGGAGTGCATTTGCAAATATTACAAATTTGAGTCGATTTTTTGTCACAAATTGCATTAACTGCATTCCCATTAATCATTGTAAGCTTAAGATTGAAGCTTACTTGAATTACAAGTTTCTTTTCAACTTCTGTTTCTCTCAAGCAGATCGATTTGTTTGTCAAAGTATTTATAGAACTCTCCTCAAGCAAGTCAATTTGTTCATCAAAGTATTTTTTTTCTTCTCTCAAAACTAAAGGGCGTTTACTTCAGTAGGACATATCTTCGTATTTCTATCATGGTCTGCCAAATGACTGTTCATTTAAACAAGAAAGATTTAAATCACATTTTGTGATAATTGTTGGTCGCTGAATAATTAAAGGCAAAATTTTATTATTAAGCTAAAATGACTCACCACTTGAAAATTCGCTCTTATTTCAAAAATATTTTTTGCCAAGTTTTGATTGCCATTTGCATAAAATTTCGAGAAGAGCTTTTTCAAAACGATTAAAATCATCATTTAAATTAATGGTTTTATTGATTTTTAGGTCAATATTTTTAAGGTCAACATAATATAAAAATAATATTATTTTGTTTTAGAGCATACTATTATACTGATCCTCGATTTGTCTTGAAATAAGCTGTGATAAAATTGTGTCTAATTTTTTCAAATACTTCAAGTTGAGTTATGTTATTAAACATTTTTATTAGATAACTTGATTTTTTAAAGATAACTTGAGTTTTAATAATGCTATTTCAAGAGAAAATTTAAATATTTATATTTTAGTGTATATTTATTCAAATAATTTTATCACTTTCGGAACATAATTGCAATCAAATTGCTGCAATTATTAACTAATTAGTCTTCAACATCATACAAACTTTAAATTTCCAGACAAATAAATTTTTTCCCGTCACATCACAGATTGTAAAGTAAGAATAAAATTCGTCTCAAATCTTGAAATTTCAAAATCAATTTTAAGTCTAAATTATTGCAGCTAATTTTATTTATAGTATTAAACAAACTTTTTTTTTTCCTAATTTTAGTTTCTAGAGAGCGGCATTTGAACACTTGAACAATTGAACACTTAAATATTTAAATTTTATGTATTTATACTTAAATGATTTTCTTTATTTTTCCTTTTTTGAAAACATTAAAATAATTTTTAAAAATTTATTTTAAACAATAACGGTTTGATGTGTTTAATAAAGTTAGGAAAAAAAAAAATTCATTAAACAAATATCTTATCTTTAAATCGGTCTTTTTTTAAAGTAAAAAAAGTCATTGATTTTGAATTACAAAATATATCATAAAGAATACATGGTTGCAGCTGTTTATTGTTTTGAACAATTACTGCCGTTTAGTAAATTCAAAAATCAGAAAATTAATCAATCTTTAAATTGCATTTAGAAAAAAGAAGATTTTGTTGATGAGGAAATTTAGAAAAAACACCTTTAAAATACCAACAATTTTAAGACATATTATAAATAAATTAAATACAAATATATAACTAAAATATATACTTTTTATAAGTACTTAATATGTTAATATGTTTATTTTAAAAAAAATAGTCCAAAGTTTTTTTAATTGAAAAAAGTTATGTAGATTTTGAGGATAAGTAAAAATTGTAAAATGTAAATATGTGAAAATTTGACAATTTTAAAGCCATTATGAATGGTTCTAGCAAGCTTGCCTTCATCTCTAGTAATTAAAAGTATACATTTATGTAAAAATATGTTTCAGTAAAAAAATAAAAATAAAAAATTTACAAGATTTGACTTTTTTGGGATTTTTGGCCTTGAAAAAAAAATTCTGGCCCACTGTGTAAGGCTATAAATTTTCGTTTTTTGAAAAAAAAAAATTTTTGTTTTTGACTATCCATAATCTTTAAAAATCATATTCTTGTTATACAATGTTTATATATGTTGAATTTGATAAAGAAGGCTGCGTATAAACTTTTTATTTTTTGTTTGTTTGTTTTAAATATATTTTGATATAGGGTCGTATCATTATATTTCAACTAATTTTGAGAAAACTTTGTGGAGCACAATCTCAGATTTTGCTGATTTTTACATATCATTATCAACATTATGTAGATAGGTTAAATTTGAAATTTCAGACTTCCAAGTGCAATGGTTCAGAAAATATAGCTTTATAAACACTGCATAGAGTCCCCCCTCGATTTAAGAATTGTAAAAACAGACTACTTTAAAGCCTCATAACTTTTTTCTATCTTTCAACAAATGGCTCATTTTTTCTAGAAGTGTTTTCTGGGTAGTTCTGTGTTAAAAATACTGGTTTTTGTTAACTTGTATCGTTTTAGGAAAAAATTATAGCCTCCTCAACTTCGAAAAAAAGTTGAAAAATGCTAAAAAAGGCCAAAATGAAGTTAACTGTATTAGTTTTCTATTCATCAACAAGTCCTTACAGTTTAGTTTTCTGATTAGCTACTATCATATGCAACAAATAGGCAAAAAATTAGCTGCTTGTTGTAATTTAGAACTGAAATATATCTAAAAATGTATTGTCCATTTGTTAAAAAAGTCCTATTTTCAGCCATTTTGAAATGCTCGTAATTTCAAAATAAACACTTTGTATTAATCTAAGCTTAACAGCAATTAAGACCATAAGATCTAACTATCTGAAAATGGAATCATTTTTTACTTGTTGCATTCTCAACAAAAATGGCAGCATTTTTAAATAACCCTATTTTTCAGTTATCCAGAGTTGAACGCATTATTAGAAACCAGCGCCCCCCCCCCCCCCCCCAACAACCTGTGACAATTGACAAGCTATAATTTAGAATTAAAAAAGTCTAATAGCATATTCAATGGTTGCAACTGTTTATAAGTTGTTTCTTAAATAATGAAAGATATGGTTAATTGCCCCCATGCTGATCTGGTTTTTAACCTGGGTAGGGTTAAAAAAATAAAGGAGCAACAACTAACTAAAACTCAGTATTATTGGTAAATAGTGATACTTTAAACATAGTTTACACAATTAAGGAGTGTTATATCTCAAAATCAAAGACCTTTGTTGTTTTACAAAATTAATGTTGAACAATTTTTCATAAGACTTTCATAATATATCAAGGGGATATTCATGATACATCAGGGAACTTAAAAAGTATAATAACTTCTATAATAAAATAAATAATAAATATAAAAGGAAAAAGTCAAAACTTGTTAGGAATGCTTAAATTATTAGGTTTGGTTTTTACTTTTTAATTGATAATTAGTTTCTAATTCAAAACAATTAATACAGTATAATTTATTTAATCTTGTTTTTATTAAATAGGAGTAAAACCCTCTTGTGTTTTGGAGCTCAGGTTTATGTAATGTGGCAATGTTGTAACTAACTGGATACCAATCAGTATCTGGTGTTTTTGGATATTTGAAATAACTGCCAGCTCTATATTAACAGCTGACAGGTATATAGTCTCCTCTTATAAAAGACTTCTGTATTAGTTTCTCTTTAGATTATTTAGAAGACCAACCAGAACAAAAGTTTCATAATGAGAATAGTATCAAAGGATTATAATTGTATAAAAACTATTAAAGGTAAAACACATTCAGGAGCGACTCATATTTTGCAATCTTTCAGAACTATACCAAAAATACTGTGTACTTGCTGGAAAATCTGTCACCCAAACTGTGTTTGTAT